TGCCTTCTTCTCTAGGCCCCTGAGCAGTGGGACTTTGTGCTCGTGGCTGCTCACCCCACCCAGAAGGACCCGGAGCAGAGGCAGCGGCTGCATAGGTTCCTGGAGGAGCTCAGGGGAAGGGGCTTCGACTTGAAGGTGGGCTGGTGGCTGGTGAGGCAGGCGTCTTTGGGCCAGAGAGTCCTGGGGATGGGACCGAGGCTGTGCCCAGGTGCAGGGGACAGGTGGTGAAGGGAGGGGACGGGTGGTGAAGGGAGGGGGACAGGTGAAATGGAGGTCCCCTCTGACTGCTCCCCCAGGAGAGAGAGGGCCAGAACCGGCTGTTCTTTGGGATCCGAGCCCACAACAGTATCTTTGAGCTGTACCGCACCCTCCTCATGGAGCCTCACGGTCCTACCCCTGGAGTTCCGCTGGCCAGGCCGACCTCTGTCCCAGACACCACGAGGTGAGGGCCGTGCCCAGCACTAGACCCGAGGACCCTGTCCACCCCAGTGCCTGGTCCAGGCAGAGCAGAGAGGTCCCCAAGTCCCTGGCCGCCACGTGAGGCAGCCTGGAACCACATGGTTTCAGCACAGGCCACGGCAGGGCAGACCGCACAGTTGTGCCTCAGTTCCGTGCCTGTGACAAGGGGAGGTGACAGTCCCACCTCTTGGAGCATTCTGAAAGCACCTGTGACCAACTCCCGGGGATACAGAGTCAGAGTGGCTATGAAGGATGGAGAGGCCCAGAGCCCCCAAGCCACCCCTCACGGTGGGTGAGGGCATCATCTCCCACAGACCCTCCTGTCCAGCTTGGGGGCCCTCCCTGGATGTGCAGACCCAAAGGCCCAGCAGAAAGGGCCTCCTGTGTCCCCAAGGGCCTGCTATTCCAAGTTCGCTGCTCACCCTCCCTTTCCCTTACCCATCGCTGCTTAGCCCTGACTGGGTCCCAGAGCCCAGCTGGCCTGCTCAGCTGACACCTCTGGATGAGGCTCTTGGAACTTGGTTATGAGGCGGTGGAGGGGCATCTGTGAACACAGAGATGGCCAGTCTCCCAGAGGAGTGAGGGGAATTCAGTGGAGTAGCAGCACCTTGATGGACTGAGAGGAGGAGCTGGCCTGGGGGCATGCATTCAGGGGCCCTGTCTCAGGAAGACAGGTGCCCAAGTGTGCCTCTGCAGTCCAGTGCCTGGCTGTGTGGCCTCGGGCAAGTTACTGCACAGGCAAAATGGGTCCCAGGGATGTAAAGAGGGTTTCTGCACCTAAGTCACGGGAGGATTGCAGGGTGGAGTGCAGGGAGCAGGGGCCCCAGCAGATCCATCCTGGGGCTCTTTGGGGAAGGTGGGATGGACCCTAGCCCGTCTGTGGGTTCTGGGCTTGGTCAGGCTGGAAGCCTGGGTCCACTGAGGCCTGGTGGAGCTGTCCTGACCCCGATCTTGGGTTTCAGAATCCGAATTGTAAACTTCATCTTGAGCAATATGAAGACGGCAGCTGGTGGTGAGGCGGGTCAGGCAGGCGGTGAGAGGGTGCCCGGGCAGGGGGTCCTTCCTCGCTCTCCTCTGCCCTGACCGGAGGCCCCTGGTGATCCCCAGACACTTTTGAGAATTTGAAGAAGGACGGGATCTTTGAGACCAGGTTCCCACTGCACAAGGTGAGGTGGGCTGGCCCGGGGCCCTGAGGGCAGGACCCCAGCAGGAGGTGCTCAGACCCCTTGTCTGGGGGCAGGGGGAGGAGGATCTGAAGAAAAACTGGGCCCGATGGAGAAACCTGGCACGCAGGCAGCCCATCGATGACATCAGGTGAGGCTGCCCAGGAGTCACCGGTGCCACACACCCACCGCCCTCCCTGGTCCCCGCATTCTGACACTGCTTGCCTGCAGGAACTACTTCGGGGAGAAGGTGGCTCTGTACTTTGCCTGGCTGGGCTGGTACACCTACATGCTGGTGCCCGCCGCGCTGGTGGGCCTCCTCGTCTTCCTGAGTGGGTTTGCCCTGTTTGATGCCAGCCAGATCAGGTGGGCTGAGTGGGGGCCGTGGCTGGGGCCAGGGTAGGGGCAGGGGGAGCCAGTGCCAGCCCTGTCCCTGTACCCCAGCAAGGAGATCTGCGAGGCCCAGGATATCCTCCTGTGTCCCCTTGGCCACCAGAGCCGCAGCTTCCAGCCGCTCTCCAGCACCTGCACGTTTGCTAAGGTTTGCCACTGTGGGCCACCAGGGCTGCCAGGGGACACAGAGGTGGGAGCAGAACCTGGGGCCCTGGGGAGCAGGCTCTCCCTTCCCCTGGGACACGGGAGGGCCAGCCCAGCCCATCAGCCCCTCTCCCTAGCTCACCCACCTCTTCGACAACGAGGGCACCGTGCTGTTCGCCATCTTCATGGCTCTGTGGGGTGAGTTGCTGTGGGTGCCCCAGGGACCTGGGACACCAGTCTGTGCTGTCCCTAGGTGACCATGATGCCCTCCTCACCCCGCTGCAGCCACCGTGTTCCTGGAGATCTGGAAGCGGCAACGAGCCCGCGTGGTCTTGCACTGGGACCTGTACGGGTGGGACGAGGACCAGGTGAGGCAGACCTGTGACCAGGGCCTTCTGCTTCAGCGTCCGTGTGGCCCACACCTCTGTTCCGTGTCTGAGCTGTGTTTATGTCTGAGATCTGTCCCCCCATCTGAGGCTTGTGACCCCAAGTCTGAACCATGACCCGT